CTTCGATTGTGAACTTGTGTCTAAGATTGTTATTTACCTCTAGAATCGACATTGTTAATTAGTGGCGTACTAACCCCGTATAAATTTCAACTTAATTTGAAGGAGATTTTTGTCAAAATTTCCGGAGAGATAATGTATCCTGTTTTCAATGAGTTTGTAGAACAAGAGTTGATCGGTAAAAATTTATCTGCGCAATTACCTAAGCTTTGTTTTCCGATATATTTATTGCATTGTTTTTTCACCAGAATTATAAAGTTTTTGTATATTTCTTACAAACTGGAGCAAATATCCACCTTTCCCCCGTTGCAGATGATAAACTGCCTTAAGTATTTACTAGCATTCGAAATTACTAAGATTTCTTTTCCATATTTCCCACCACCTACGGTGAACATAACTTAAGCGAACATGGGGTCAGTCACTCCTCACAAGATGTTAGGGGATTTGTAGAACGTCTAACAACCTCGAGCGCGTAGGAAGGTAAAGTGATATCCAAGTGGTCCTTTGCATTTATTTGTTATTTACAACATTCTGAGGTTTAAATTCAGCGCAAATGCTTCTCGGATGTAACTCACTAAATAGTTAAAACGCCACCGCCGTAGCCCCCGTCATACACGCAGATAGCGTGCGGGTTCTCTACGTATACTCGTCAGCTTTTCCCATTCAGTGACTCGCACAGAAGAAATGGAATCTGAAGATTGGACATCAATGATTTATTACTGGCAACATGCAAAATGCAATAAGAAAGGAACCTCGCCACTGCATCCTCTGCGGGAACCGAGTTCCGTCACTTCCTACGTTCTGGTTTCACCGGGGTCAGTGCATATCATTGTAAAGCCAAGCTATCCACTGGGTGAAATATTGTTCCTGTGCTGCGGAATGTTGAATTTCTACTCGTACTTGGTTGTATTATTGGCAAACGACATGGGCCACGGTGCTCATTGGTAAAAGCAACAACCTCATAATGCTTGTCTCCGTCTGATTCATTAGCTGTATGCTTGCTCCTCCCTACCGAAATTGAAATTTCTAGTCACTGATTGAGGTTTGCCGCTCGGCTCCACTACCAAGGCTTTCAACTCACACTAACGTCTCTCTCTCATTCGGCATCGCCGTTGGTCCATATCTCAACTATTCAATAGGGGGTCTAGGTACCTCTCGCCAGCGCAAATCCTAATCCTTCCTATATTTCATTCGCTACTGTGCCTCTCATTCTTAAACCTTTTGGACCAGTCCGGCCTCTGGGGCTCCAAATGCCCAAGGTCTCAAACCAACGCCTCGCTTCTGTTGAGCATCGGCAGCCATGGACCAAAATGCTCATTGGTAAAAGCAACAGCCTCATGATACTTGTCTCCGTCTGATTCATTATCTGTAGACTTGGTCCTCCCTACCGAAATTGAACTCACCGGTCTCTGATTGAGTGTTACCTCTCGGCTCCACTACCAAGCTTTTCAGCTTAGAGTAACGTCGCCCTTTCTCATTCGGCATCTCATCCACTCCTATGGTTAACCATACTCTACTGTATGTTTGCTCGGTACCTCTTCTGGTCAACCCTTCAATAGTGGTCCAGTTAACCCTAACACCAGCGCAACACCGCAGTCTTTGGGTGAAACACTTAGCACTTGGCGGTGATGTCTGTATTATTCCCTTAGCTTTGGTTATGTTCAGCGCCGGCACTAGTGTCGTTTTCTCTCTACGGCTGTTGCAAATATTGCCGTCTGTTCCCTCTCTTGTATTCAACACCGTACACCAATCAGTCTATGCCGAGCCTGATAAAGCGTGCCGCTCCTGTATATAAATTCATCAGGCTGCCAGCAACTCACTAACCGGCAGTCTATTTGCCTTTAACGTTCCACCGTGGATGTCCACCTCAGAGTGGCACACCCAGCATCGTTTGGGCTGCTGCTCACACTACTAATATTCCTGGCCCCTTTCAGCGCTGGCCCTACAACCATTTTCTCGCAACAGCCATGGTATTCAAGTCTTCCTCGCTCCTGTTTTAATCTTGAATGCCTATCAGCGTGCAGTTTCTTCCTTATAATTAACCCGACGCCCATTGTCGCCCTTTTCTGCCGTTTATTTGACTTGTTCTCTGCACTGTAGAATTCCCTGTCTTTTCCGCTATCTCGGGTCCTTTTAGGGATGGCTTTGCAACCGTTTTCTCGCTACATCTGTAGTATATAAATCCCATTCTCGTAACAACTTTGACACACCGTTTCACTCCTTCACCCTGCGGTTTCTCTAGCATCCGATTACTGAACCTGCTACGTTATTATTTTCATGCGTCTCAAAACCGGCATAGTACCTTCGCTGGCTCCCGCACGTGTTCGAACGATAAGCCCTACTACTGTCCACCGATCGCTCAATCTATAGCCTAAGCGCGTATTTAACCCCTTACTATGTTATTATAATTCCCTCAACTCATTTACCGGTTAACAACGCCCGATACTCCCGATTTCCAGACAGGACAACTTTTATGTACGCTACGCCACTTCGGACAGCATTTGTCTCTCACGTTCAGCTAATATCGGGTCTCGTGCATGCACGCAAAACTACGGATATGATGCATAACATTTTCGGGTATTCCATTGCTTTTAACCAACACAACGTTCCCATACACTTTACTTTTATACATTAACCTAGTCCTGTTCAATTTCCGTGGCAGTTTTCTAGATCCATTTTTCTTTTCTCCCTTGTTCTAAAAGATAACATTAACTGCACGAAACACCTCTGAGGACATGCCTGCGACGCTCAACTGGACACTGAATCAACACGGAACGAAGCAATCACCCGAAACACTAAATGAACCCAGGAAACTAATGAGATCAATACGAGTCACCTGAGTAGTCCGACGTCAACAACTCCAACCACTTGCGGTCTACTTCGAAGAAGATTACACAACCACGGGAAACAAATTGGCGAAACGTGACTGCGAGTATCCGCGCCGGGTATCGGTCAGATGCAATCTTGTCAACGTCATATCACCAGTCGGCAGTGATCCAGGACGTGGTGAGTTTTCGTCTGGCAAGCGTTTTCCCTACAAGAAGCCACAAATGTCTGTTTAACACCACTGCGAGATGTCGGATGTGACTCGCCACTCAAGAAAGTCACCGCCTTAATCACATGTTGGCAAGTTGACCTATACCACATTTACAAACTCTGTGCATTTAGCTGTTTTCGTAAGAAAACACCAACATATTAGATCAGTTACATGCCACTATTCCTAAAGATTTTTGCACCTTTTTCCTCTTGCTTCACTCACCTGACCCGCAATGTGTACACAAAGCCATCGGACTAGTTCTTCATCAACATACTCCACATTAGTGATCTGGTTCATATCTCTACATCTGGTATTCTGTGGACATAGACATCGTACAACCTTTGGGCCATATGGGCCCACACTACAGCCTCCAACTGTATTACTTCCGCTCTTGATGCTTCTAAGCATGCTATCGCGTGCAATATTGCAATATGCTGAGCATGCCCAAAAGGCGTGCCTCGCTTTGTCGAGTATAAAATATTTATTTATTTACTTCTTCATTCTGTTCGACATATTTCCAATGCTATTTGAGCAATGTACAAATATTTTGTCAGGTGCAGTACGTTAACTGGTCCAAATTACATCTAGTATCACACACAGCCACCTATCCTAATATGAAGCCTACTCCATTTACTGTACATTTAAAGACGGAAGGCCAGGCAGTTCGCTTGAACTTCGACACGAGGGCATGTTTTACAAAGATCAACAAAACGTGTGGCTGATAATTTTATATTCAGATGAATCAAGAACAGATACCATTTCCTGGGTAAGAACTCTTTTCGTAAACGCTCTTCAGACCCAATCGTATACATGACAAGGATTGTGTGGGAAAAGCGTCAACTCGGGCTGGGATTGATTTATAAGGTGTTTGAACGGTCAAAACCGATAATGTAAAGGCGGCTACAGATGGAAAGAATGTGCAACAAAAGAAACTTAATACGCAACACTTAGCAGCATAAAGTAAATAGGCGAGTTCACGAAGGGAAGTACGTAACCTTGTCCGTCCGCCACGGTAGTAGTATCGTCCGCATAGAGCGTTTCTGTACGCATAATTCCGGAATTATGCGTACATAAACGCTTCCAAAGGCCGATACTACTAAGTGGCCGACCGACAGGTTTACTTAAATCCTTCGTGCTATACCCATTTGTTTAGGCGGATAAGGCTTGCGTATTAGGATCCCTTTCGGGCAAAATCATGCCATCAGTAAGTAGAAGTGAGCATTGCGTCATTATACGCTCCATAACTAATAAAAGGCTCCCAGAAAAGCATCAACTTTTGAGGAAAGTTGGTCACAGCGACCTAAAGATGTTACGGGCTAGAGCACTTCCGCTCAATTGGGTTCCTACATTGGCGCAAGCCACATTAGAATAAAGATGGCGCGCAGATAAGAGCGGACTTGTTCTGCTACTATATAAGTCCGCACCATGTGCCCCAAGAAAGGCCTAACTAAACTGTGATGGTGTCGCCACAGGAGCAATCGTGCGATAAAGAAGCGCAACGTTCCCTGGAAGTAGTTTCAAGCATCAGGAGGATGTACCCGCTGGTTGCAGTATAAGAAATGTCGCAATGCAACAATACAGATTCGGCGATCAACGGACTATTGCTATGAAGTCCGACTGGCCCAATATCTAAAGGCAAAACCTAAGCTGTTTTGTAGTTATTTTCAGCCCAAACGATCTCTAAGGCAAAGAGTGGTTGCTTTTCTGGCAGAGAACGGCAGCCACACTACAGCGGAGGCAGTCAAAGCAGAGGTGCTTTTGCGCGGGTACTTAAATGGTGTATCGTACGGAGAATAGGCGTCCTATATACTCACCTTCACTTTTCAACCTAACAATATAATGCTGACCACTTCGCTTACTGCAGCGGAAGCCTATGGGGTACTGGCTGACGTAGACCCACTGTAACGTCCACCGTGAACGTTGAATAACGCGTAGCCAAAGATCCCGAAATCAAAACAAGACGGATCACAATTACTACGGTACTATTAAAATATATACAGCTGATAATTGGGACATACTTCAATTGTTCAGTATCCCGGTGTATGCAAATTGACAACATGTCAGTAAACAATAGGGAACGATAGGGAACGAGTTGTCTTCGCTGGACAATCCAAGGCAAGTCACCGCACCTGAGTGCTACGAGTATTTAGGCTAAGGGTGTTGACCAATCAAGGGATACTCCAATCACAGGGTGAGAGTTTAATGGCATGCATAAACATGGTATTTGGACAAGCGACCAGTGAATGGGGGAGGGTTGCGACACATGTCCGGGCTGAACGTGTCCTGTTCGGCGAAGAGTAGGGTTGGAGATCCAAGGTCGTCGGTAGACGCACACGCACGGAACCAGTGCCGGTGATTCGCATGCACACACAGACACACATACAACGCTAACAATGGGAATGTAAGCAGGCGCACATGAAAGCTGGTCGATATCCATAAACGATCGGCCCTATGTAGACTAGACCACGAAGCGAAGATTAGAAGAATTTCACGGGTAAATAAGCTCGTTACACTACCTCCGAAATTCTTCTGCGATTGACGTCTCGTACGTCCCCGACTCTACTCTGGCTCTCGGTCCTACAACTGCCTACATTAGCGCTCCTTAGAAAAGCAGGAGGGAAAGCAACACAACCACACAAGATCGTCTTGGCAGGAGCCGTTTTCCATGACTCCCACCAAGCGCCGTTCGTGGGCGTCTGTGGGCATCGAAGCGCTTGGGTGAAAGCCGTTTTCCATGACTACCACCCTGCACTCCAAGCCAGACTTAAGCGCTGCTATTCATCGCCCTCCAGGCGGCACACCTTCCTGACATCTCTTTTTACTATACCTGAGTTGGTTCTAATGTACACCGTCCTTACCAAACCGTCATTGCTGGCTTCACAACTCACGACTCGACCCAGCGGCCAACAACCCCTTGGTAGTTTCTCGGAAGCCACCAACACTAATTCGTCTTTTTCTACAGACTTGGTCGGAAGCTGCCACTTCTGTCGAGATTGTAATGTTGTTATGTATTCTTTTAACCATCTCTTCCAGAATCCCGTGGCTACGTGGGCTACTTGCTTCCAGCGCTTAGTATACCTGTCTCTGATGTCGATGTCTGGTAGCTGCAAGGTTTCGCATCGTATGAGAAGTAGGCTGTTCGGGGTTAATGGAGGAGCATCTTGGCTATCGGAGGTGGGTGGAACTAGCGGACGATTGTTTAGAATCCGTTCTACCTCGACGAATACAGTGGCTAGGGAGTCATCAGTAAGGCGTTGCTCGTTGCATACGCCGTGCAATATTTTCCTTACAGAGCGGATAATTCTTTCCCACACCCCGCCCCTGTGACTTGCAAATGGTGGATTGAAATGCCATTGCAAACCACGAAGGCATAGCTCTCCGTCAATCCGTTTTTGATCCCATTTTTTAACACCATCAAGTAATTCCCTAACCGCCCCGACGAAATTCGTTCCGTTGTCACTATATACTTCTGATGGGCAGCCCCGTCTGCCGACGAAACGGATGAGTGCCGTAATGAATGCATCAGTCGAGAGGTCGTGGGCTGCTTCCAAGTGCACTGCCCTGGTTTGCAGGCAATTGAATATGCACCCAAAGCGCTTTTCCACAGTCCTTCCTCGCTTTACAACAATAGGGCCAAAGTAATCCACACCCACATTCTTGAAAGGAAACCAACCAATTTCCGCCCTGGTACAGGGTAATGGTGCCATCTGTTGCTGGCACGGAGTGGCTGTGCGCTTCCAGCAGCGGATGCAGCTTCCGACCACTCGCTTCACTGTTTTAGCCCCATGCAGTATCCAGTACTTGGTGCGGATCGCACTTAGCACGTGATGCACTCCACCGTGGCCTTCTGAGACGTGGAAATGACGCACCAGCGCCTCGACAACTGGGTGCCTACTGGGAAGGATAGCAGGGTGCTTCAAACTCTCCTCGTAGTCTGTGTAGTTCAACCGCCCTCCGACGCAGATAATTCCCTCGATCAGAGTTGGGTACAGGCGACGGATTGGGTTTCGTTTTTTCCATGCGTGACTAAGGTGGGTCGATTGATTGCTGCACGCTTTAAGGTTTGTCAGTTCGTTGCTGAACGTCTCGCGTTGCACCATGCGCAGGATGTCTTTCCTGGCATCTTCTATCTCGGAAACTAACAGCGGACCTCTAGCATATACCCGATGCGCATTGTGACGGGATAGTAACCAGCATTTGAAACGAACCAACCAAGCTACTGCCTTCAGTAATTTGGCCCAACTCGAAAAATACGTCAGCAGTGGGTTCGCGGGGTTTGTTGATGTAGCATTTATGGAACTACTTGGCTTTTTTAATTCCACATTTGCCATGCTTTCCGTTGGGGTATACCCGTGTACCCAGGAGCAGTCGGTTTGTAGGAGAAAATCCGGTCCTCCTACCCACGCTCTCCATTCGCTTAACTTCAGGGTTCCCCTCGAGGTCAAGTCTGCTGCGTTATCCTTCGACCGAACGTGGTTCCATTGCGTCGGTTCCGACAGCTGTTGTATGGCGGCAATTCGGTTAGCGACAAATGTACTGAATCTTGTCGACTTATTATAGATGTAGTGCAGCACGATTTGCGAGTCGGTCCAATACCGTGTATCTCGTGGACTCATACTCAGACTATCTGCGAGTATCTGATTAACTTTCGCTGCCAACACTGCCGCTCCAAGTTCTAACCGGGGTATAGATGTTGCCTTCAATGGAGCAACTCTGGATTTTGCGAGCAAGAGAGAGCAATAAGGCTGACCCAACGCAGAGGTGTGCCGTAAATATGCGACCACACCATACCCAATTTCAGAGGCATCGCTGAAAATGTGCAGCTGTGCGCGTTGCTCAGAGGTCTCTATGCTCCGCAGCACACAACGAGGAACCGATAGTTGGCCAATAGACAAAGTGTGATTAATCCATTGCTTCCACTCTTGCTCGTCTGACGGCTGGAGAGGGTCATCCCAACCCAGTCCTCTTCTACACAATTTCTGTAGAAGCACCTTGGCTGGTAGAAGCAAAGGACACACTAATCCGAGGGGATCGAACATCGATGATATAGTTGACAGGATGCTCCGTCGGGTTGCCAGGCAGTTGTGAACGCTGAATCGGAACCAAAACTGATCTGTCTCAGCGTTCCATTCGAGCCCAAGCGTACGATCATTGCAGTGTGAGCCAACAACGAGTTCTTTAGGCGCTCGTGCCCACTCGGTAGGGGATATCAAATCTAGGGCCTTCGTCTTATTCGAGATCCATTTCCGCAGCCTGAATCCCCCTTTGGCTAGCAGTTCACATATGTCGTGGGCAAACTGCGCTGCTTCCTCTACTGAACTCAATGATACCAGGCAGTCATCTACGTAGAAACCATTGGTGACTGCATTCGTTACCGTAGCGTTGTATAAATGACCGAAATCACTCACCGTCTTGCGAAGGGCATAAGTGGCACAAAACGGCGAGGACGTCGCCCCGAATGGGTGGGCGGTCATCTGGTAGTCGACAGGTTCACTAGACAGGTCGCCTTTTGGCCACCACAGAAACCGCAGTGCTCCTTGGTCGTCCTCCGGCACCTTTACCTGCATGTACATTTCTTCCACGTCTGCTGCTAACGCCACTAAATTCTTCCGAAACCGAGTAAGTACTTTGGTCAGGTTCGCAGTGACGTCGGGGCCCTGGCAGAGTTGGTCATTTAGGGACCGACCTCGAAATTTCGCCGCACAATCCAAAACCACTCTAAGTTTCTCCGGTTTCTTGGGGTTAACTATCGCGTGATGAGGTAGGTACCAGCACCGAGGTCCGGTCTTCGCCGGAGCTCTAACCGCATAACCCTTATCCAGCATCGAGTTTATTGACTGTGTGTATTTGGAGAAAAGTCCGCCATCTCGCAGTAGACGACGTTTAAGGTACGCTAGTCTTTTTTCGGCCATGACCCTGTTACTAGATAGAACTTCGCTACCGTCTCGCCAAGGGAGAGGAACAACGTAGTGTCCATGTACCAAGCGCGTCCCCGCCTCGGTCTTAGCAACTACCGCTGAATCCTCACATGACATGGATAGTTCAAGAGCATCAAAGTCTGAAAATTCAGCGTTGTACAGCATTTGAATTTGGTCAGCGATGGGTATGTCCGCCGCCCAGATGCCGTTAACGGATGCAACACGACGCATCGCAGATCCCAGAGGGCCCAACACAATCCAGCCCAGCAAGGTTTTGATAGCGTACGGTTCCTTGCAACCACCAAGTCGTTGGTCTAACACCCAGTGAGCCTCCGGAATGTCGCAACCAATCAGCAATGATATCCGCGGGTCGCGGATCTCTTCGAAGTCGAGATCGGCCAGGTGCGGCCACTTGCGCGCCTCCGCTTGTGTTCCGTGACAGGATGCTTGAATAGGCAGACTAGGCACTGCGAACGCGCGCTCTACCTCAATCTCTTCTAGCCCGTTTAGTGAACGCAAGTAGAATTTGACCACGGAGCTATCCATACTGCGGTCTCCGTTGATCGTCTTAATCGTCAAAGACGACGGCTGTGGCTCCAAACGGAGGCGGCCGACGAGATCCTGGGTGATCAGTGTTGTATCTGAACCGTTGTCGAGAAGTGCATAGGTTTCTATCGACCCGAACGGACCGACCACAGTCACCGGAATCACCCCAAGAGCGACACAACGCGAGCCCGCGTCTGTGACTCCGCAGCGAGCCTGATCTGTGGATACTGCGTGAGTTAACTTGGGGACTTCGCCACCATGGAGCAGGCTGTGATGACGAGATTGGCAACCAGCGGCATTGCAGGCTCGGCGAATGCCGCAGTTTTTGGCGATATGGCCCGGTCTTAAGCAACCGAAACAGAGGTTCTTGGTTTTTAACATTTCCCATCGTTGCGATATGTCCAGTTCTCTAAATATTCCACACTCCGCGGCCAAGTGGTTGTCCGAACAAACGGGGCAGGAGTGGGTGGGGCTGGCAGGCGACTTAGTTCTCTGACCAGCGTAATGGCTATTTATCGCCGGATACTCTTTCCTTGGAGGAGCTCTCGTAACAGTCGTTTCGACACCACGGGGTGATCGATCGGCTAACTGTCCGAACCGGCTGCGAGCTATGCGTGCCCGCGATGAAACAAATGTGGTTAAGTTCAGAAAACTGGGCTCATGACCACTAAGTGTTAGCTGATCGACGATTTCGGCCCATTTGTACTGCAGGGGCTTCGGTAGGGCACGGACTATCTCTTCTAGGGTGGTGGAGGAGTCTACATCTGCCTCATAGTTCATTTGTTTCAATGTGATGTGGCAGTTCTCCATCTTAATGGCCAATTCCGACAGGGCATCTGCGTTGTTGGGAATGGACTTCGCGCCTTGAAGTAGGCCTTCTATCGATGCCCTAGCAATGTAGTGTGCTTGCCCGAAGAGGTCGCGAAGGATACGTCGAGCTCTTTCATAACCCTGACCGGGCGGCAGCATTACGCAGTTGCCAATAGCCAGTCTAGCTCGTCCCTTACAGTAATGAATGAGGTAGAGCAGACGTCTTCCGTCATCTACCACCTTGCTCTCCACATAGAACTCAAACTGCTTGACGAACCTCCAGTAGTCAGCTGGGTGCCCATCGAAATAAGCCAGCTCTACTTTGGGGAGACCAGCTTCCGCAATAAGTGGGACGAGAGCGGACGCTATAGCGTTTCCCAACGTGGCAGTGGGGGGGTCAATCGGCAAATCATCATAACAACCGGCGGATGGTTGATTCGCAGCCGCCGCAGCACATTCCGTGACAAACTCGTCAACTCTGTTTGACGAATAAATAGGGAGTGCGGGTAGGTCTACATCGCCTTGTTCGTCTTCCAGCAAGGCGCTACGCTGGGCGAATTCGACCTCCTGTCTAGCCTTCAACAATCTACGCTGTTTGCTAAGTTCCTGCTCCCTAGTTTCTAGTTCTAGCTCCTCCTTGAGCTGCTTTTCTTTCAACTCAGCAAGCAGGAGCTGTGAGCGCGTACTGCTAACTGAATTTCTAGAGCTAACCCGAGAGCCAGAGTTAGAGACAGCATCAAGAGGGACTTGCCTTGATTTGGATGAGTCCTTTGTCCGGGTGGATGCGCGGGTGACTGGCATTGCGAAGAGGAACCAATTTGGCACTTCCGGATACGAGTACCAGCAAACCGAGGGATCCAATTAAGCAATCCGTCGAAGCGAGAACCAAATTGAATACTTCCGCCGACAATTGAATAGTGCCAGCTTCGACCAATTGAATACTGTAACGTCCACCGTGAACGTTGAATAACGCGTAGCCAAAGATCCCGAAATCAAAACAAGACGGATCACAATTACTACGGTACTATTAAAATATATACAGCTGATAATTGGGACATACTTCAATTGTTCAGTATCCCGGTGTATGCAAGTTGACAACGTGTCAGTAAACAATAGGGAACGATAGGGAACGAGTTGTCTCCGCTGGACAATCCAAGGCAAGTCACCGCACCTGAGTGCTACGAGTATTTAGGCTAATGGTGTTGACCAATCAAGGGATACTCCAATCACAGGGTGAGAGTTTAATGGCATGCATAAACATGGTATTTGGACAAGCGACCAGTGAATGGGGGAGGGTTGCGACACATGTCCGGGCTGAACGTGTCCTGTTCGGCGAAGAGTAGGGTTGGAGATCCAAGGTCGTCGGTAGACGCACACGCACGGAACCAGTGCCGGTGATTAGCATGCACACACAGACACACATACAACGCTAACAATGGGAATGTAAGCAGGCGCACATGAAAGCTGGTCGATATCCATAAACGATCGGCCCTTTGTAGACTAGACCACGAAGCGAAGAGTAGAAGAATTTCATGGGTAAATAAGCGCGTTACACACACATAAGTTGGTTAGACCCGACGATGTGCATTCTGATATTGACGAAGCGCCGGTTGACATACTTCAATACCCTGTCATTTAGATTTTCATTATGTCACAACATGCAGGTAGGCACCCACAGTACTGGAAGGAGGCAACTGTTGTGGTCATATAAAAAGGGGGATCCAAAATCGTACCCCATTATTTCAGGCCTTTAAGTTTAACCAGCGCTTTGCTCAAATGCTTGAAAAAGCTTATCGGCAAACGAGTATGTGAGCACTTGGTTGAGCACAACTTAAAGCCGGGCAGCATGGTTGTGTTAAGAAGCAATCGTGCTTAATTTCTTTGGTGTTGCTTAGATGAAATAAGTAAATGTCTAAATGATGCAATCCGTTGAATTACATTTCCTAAGGGAAGGTAAATGTGCACTAATATAACAAGGAAAGTTGTGTAACATAATGGAAAATAAACAAAGCTTTATTGCTGGTCACTCTTCCCTCTCCTAACGCGCCCTTATGTGTCGTTCGTCCTACTCGCATCAACCCCTCTTGACAGCTGCTGGTCAGTGTTGGCTCCATGTAGCTTGTAAGGAACCACTCCCTGACTCTCCCACCTTCATTTCTTCTGAAGTCTGTCGCTCGATGCTTCGCTCGCATGTTGATTGCTTCAGCGAAACTGTAGGTATCCAGTAGTGGTCGAAGGTCCTGATGATATGGCTACACCGGCCACTGATACATTCTTTTCTAGAGCCACTATCTCTGCTTAGCAGCAGCTTGTCGCCATAGCTTCCATTTAACTTTGCGGATATCCGGAGCTCGCTCCCTCCTTACAATGTTCATTCTCTCGGATTTTTTGCGTCATAGCTCAGCTGGTCTGTTGACCTATCACTTACCTTCACTGGCCTGTTGATGCACTCAGCGACCCTGTAGGCATACACTAGTGACCAAGCGTCTGATTGGAATGGCTACATCAGGCCACTGAGTCTCTCCTAGCGCCACCATCTGTCGGTCGTCGTAAATTTGGCATCTCTGTTCACAAGTAGCTAGTGGCCGTTGGCCCCGTGCATATGCGAAGATCCAGTGCTTGTTCGGAGCCACTCCGTACCTCAATAATCTTTATTCATTTAGAATACCTGCATGCAATCCATCCGCTGCCCTGTCGCCCATTGATCTTTAGGACTCTCTGGCGGCAACCTATTTATTTTCGCTTATTATGCCCTCCCTCTCGGATTACGCTACCTACGTGCTGTTCATGCACCTGACAATAACTACTAATATTCTAACTCTCTTTGCTCTATCCCCACGCAATTATTGGCTCATACTAAACCGATACTTCGTACTTCACTTACTGGTACAACGCTCTTGTCTCTACGCAGGCGTTAGCAATCCACCCATACGGCTAATGATTCTATAGGATATTCAAAAGACATTTTCAGCATATTTATTGTTGCACAGTGTACATGCTTTTGTCTCAAGCCCAAATGTTGTAACACAAGACATTACCAATGTTCAACTCCATGCCTGTTCTTTCGGTTTTCTCTCGGTTGTCCCTCACTTTCCCTTTTCTCTGAGGTCCGGGACTTCCTGGAGATCTGGGATTGGACGGAGGAACCGTTTTGGCCCAAGGCGGACGTAACAACCCACAAGGACTTACATGGAGAATGGTAGGACTTCGAAAGGAACAAACTACCATCATCAAAACCCTTGTCCATTATGGAGAACTGGACATATCCTCAAACTCCCATACCTTATACATCTGAAAAAGCTGGACAGCGGAAAAGTTGAACTTTTGCTCAGCTGGGCATAAAACAAGAAGAATAATCGCGATGTCCCTCTCCTCCACCGACTTCAAAAGTCATGGCGACCCCGATCAAGTTACCTGTCCAACTAACAGAGCAAATTAGAAGCCATTACTCTGTGAAAAACCGAAGGTAAAACCAGTCGTCAAGCGGCTTTGCCATTTCAACATTAATGTTCAAAATGCTTTACGGCAGTGTTGCAGGACCTGGTGGGTTTTCGCCTGGCAAGCGTTCTCCCTATAAAACGCCACAAATGTCTGTATAACAACACTGCGACGTGGCGGAGGTGACTCGCCACTGAATAAAGTCACTGCCCACAACTACATACTGGCAAGTCGACTAGACTCACATATCAACGCTTCCCGACACCGTTTCAACTACACACGATTGAACCCGATGTATCGTCGTGATACACATCTGTTTTTAAACCTTGATCATGCCTGAGTTGGTGTGTCTCTATGAAACTGAAATTAAACTATTTATTTATTTATTTATTGTACTGTTCCAGGCATGGACATATGAACGATTTTCTACTCTCATATTTACAGTTGCCATAAAATGATTGTACATTTGTACATATCTGATCATGCCTCCATGGGCGTGCCTAGCATAGTCTAGAATAAAATATTTATTTAGTTCTTTATTTATACTGTCGATCGTCAATGCATTGAACAATAGTCTTGCACGCAAGTTTCGGCGTGCCTGCTTCTTGTCCGCGCGGAAGATAAAATATTACGGTTGATGACAAACTGAAGGTAAGCAAAGCGTACCTGCAATCTGTGTGTTTTTGATGATATTGTGCTTGACTTGTGTAACAGAGGGAAACAGGCTTTAAAAGAATGGCGAAACACAAGGCGCAGGTGAAGGGAATTTATTGAAATAAATAAATAAATAAATAGGTATACTATAGACTGGCTAGATACTGCGCGCGGAAGAGATCAGATCAAGGGTTACATTAATCATATGCGCTTGTATGGAAGCAGGAAAAGTGTGAGTACGTGTTCCTTGTTGGCACTTACGACTACATTAACGTACCATAAATTATAAGAGCATGGCAAGATTGCTGTGTGCGATACAGCGAACGTAAATACGGGAGAAAGGCTGTGGATACCCATTCCCGTGGTGGTTATTGCTCCTGAAATTTTGCGTTTTCGATCCTTGTATCAGTGTGCGGTAAGCCGCTGACCTCCAGCTACATAGATTGTGGCAAGCGCGTTACCACCCGCTCAAAGCTATTAAATGCGCTCTGTGCGATTTGTGGCTGCACACCTCGTGCTGTACCATGGATGGCGTCCTATATGCATGCCTTCAAATTATTGCAATGATATATAGAAAATAATATAATATAATAGAATAGAAAATAATATAGAAAATCGGCTCTAAGGGATAAATCTTGTGATGTTTAGCTAAGTAATGTGTGTATTTTCAGGCCGAAATCTGTCAACGGATCTGAAAGATCCCCTGAGTTACTCGGGTAGATCTGGCTCATGCGGCCTTGCTGTAAGCTTTAGAAAAGTTTAGAGGCTTAAAAAATGCTAAACTCTATTTTACTGTTTGTTTATGTGACTCAGTATCCCCTGAAAACGGTATGCTGTGGCCTTCTAACCGTGAGTTAATTACAAGCTCCACTGAATTCCCTTGTAGATATAATATTCCTTGCTGGATTTCTAGCGTTTTCGCGCAAGCTCATCCCTTAATTGCATATATTTTTCATGCTTGCCTGCAAAGTTTACTTTTCGGCCACCTGCGCAGTCCGTAGTTGTCGCAGGGTATTACGGGCTAATTAGAGCATTTCTGGATAGCTATGCCTATCTAGAACATACACCGCTTCCCTACTTTTTATATTTTCTTTTCTTTTTTCTGCTATCTGCTTGCAAAGCAGAAAGCGACTTTTAGCGAAAAATAAAAATGGCCTTATTCGTAGACCATCATTTAATTGCGAATAACTCGCAAACTACTGCACGCATGGTGTTGCTTTTACATTCATCGTATTCAGGCGCTAAAGCGCGTCCAGACAAGTGTAATTTTGTGCTACTTTAAGCGGTATTGTAACTTTAGAAGGGCTTTTTCTTTTATCTGAGAATAACTCAGGTTGGAATTTTGCGCTGGAGAGCAATATCAGCGTAATAAATGTAGGGCTATATACTTTTGTTAATGGATTTTTCTACTGAAGCACGCAGATTTATTTCCTCTCTTAACAAACTGCTTCTATTTATGTCTGCATTTTTCGGAATTGTTTTTACTTTTCGTATGCCTTATAATTCCTTCATTCATTTCTTCCATGTGCGCAACAACAATTGGGGCAACTGAGTGGCCATTGATTGTGCGATCAATTTAAAGTGAACTTGGGGCAAATTGGATTCTGTATCAATGAGAAAAGGCAAACTACACCTCCGCGAAGTATTCACAATAGGATACAAGGAGCTCAATATCGCCCGAAGGAAGCAGAAAAATGTCAAGGTGGGCGCCTGCGACCCAGTAGCTGTATACTAAACAGTGCCAATGCATTTGCAATTGCTAACGATGAACATATATTTTGCCAACTTCCATGCAAGAGCATCGGATAAATGTAAGCATTGATCTGAACCCTTTAGGGTGCAGCCTCTAGCAGGTCTAGAAATATACCTATTTATTTATTTATTTATTTAAAAGTTGTGAGCTTCCCTTGTAACTCATGTGCAGTATTAGTGAATGGCAAACGCTTCATGACCAACGCTCTTTCCCTCAATATATGTACCCCTGCCCCCGGTCCACGTACCATAAGGAAGCTGAGTCACCCGCATCATCGGTATCTCTAGGTGCAGCTGCGTCTGCTACACCCACACTTAACCAAAGCCGCACGCTCCCTCTGCTACGTCGGACGAGTCATCACCTCCCAGTAAGATGGTGTGTCGACCGGAAAACAAGCGCAATGCGTATGCTGACTTGGCGAGCGCCGCCGCTCCAATAATAACCAGCCTGTGCCTA